GCCAGATTCTGATTCCACCGCATCTTGATTGGAGATCGCTCGCGCACTGAGGCTCATTAGCGGACTGACGAGCTCCACAGGCGAAACTAGTCTCAGCGCATGAACGTTTTGTGCACCTTGACATTGCCACGTCAGAACAAGTGGCTGGCATGCTCTGCGAGCGGCTGTTGCGTCGCGGCCCCGCATGGCACCGTGCTGCCGCGGTCTGTGTTGCCGCAGGGCCTGCCGCGGGTGCCGGCCGGGTCCTCGTAGAGCAGCCGTCGTCGGACTGTCACGCCTCCTCCTCCTCCTCCTCCTCCTCCTCCTCCTTCTCCTCCTCCTCCTCCTCCTCCTCCTCCACAATTACTCAATATGAATATACTCTCCCTCTTCCCCTGATGGCGTCCGGGTGATAGCCGCGCACCCTCCGCGTACTGTTTTTTTACACACAGGATGCCCGGGAAATCCCGGGAAACGACTCTCGCTGAGGCGCCGGCGTCATTTTTTCCCAAAATGCTGCTCTCGCGCCGGCGTCATTTTTTCCCAAAATGCTGCTCTCGTTGAGGCGCCGGCCTCATTTCTGCTCCCGAATCCTTCCCCTGATGGCGTCCGGGTGATAGCCGCGCACCCTCCGCGTACTGGTTTTTTACACACAGGATGCCCGGGAAATCCCGGGAAACGACTCTCGCTGAGGCGCCGGCGTCATTTTTTCCCAAAATGCTGCTCTCGTTGAGGCGCCGGCCTCATTTCTGCTCCCGAATCGTTCCGAATCGTGCTCCCGCTGCAGCGTGGGCCTCATTTTCGGATCGGTGTTTGGCCTCCGTCGTTCAGGATGGCGTTCTCGCCCCAGCGCGGGCCTTTTTCTCGCGCGCCCATCCGCCCGCCACCACCGCGCCGCACCGCCACCACCACCACCACCACCACCACCACCACCACAACCACCACCAGCACCACCTACCAACACCACCACCACCAGCACCCACACCACCACCACCACCACCACCACCACCACACCACCACCACACCACCACCATACCACCACCCACCACCACCACCACCACCACCACACAACCACGCACACACGCACGCACGCACGCACGTGCACCACCACCCACTACGCACGCGCGCGCGGAGCCACAGGTCCGCTACGACACGCGTCCGCGGATAGAGAAAATCAGCGCCATGGTAAGGGATGGGAGGGAGGGGTAGGACGTCAGATATGACGCGAGCGCACCTAGCTTGTCCTCCTCCCCCTCCTCCTCCTCCTCCCCTCCCCCTCCCCTCCCCCCTCCCCCTCCCCCTCCCCCTCCCCTCCCCCTCCCCCTCCTCCTCCTCCCTCCTCCTCCTCCTCCTCCCCTCCTCCTCCTCCTCTCCGCCTCCGCCTCCTCCTCCTCCTCCTCCTCCTCCTCCTCCTCCTCCTCCTCCTCCTCCTCCTCCTCCTCCGCTCTCCCTCCCACCCTCCCGCCCTTTTGCCTTCCGCTCTCCCTCCTCCCTTCCCAGGTCTCTGGAGCTCTGGAGGCCGCTCGAGGTCCCCTGGGTCTCCAGACGCCGCTGGCGGAGGAGGCCTCTGGAGGCACAGGAGGATAACATAACCCCCACACACCACACACACACACACACACACACACACACACACACACACACACACACACACACACACACACACACACACCACACACAACACACACACACACACACACAAAAAAAAAAAAAAACGAAGAGGCCAAGCCACGACCCTCGAGCGTTTTGCCGCCTCCGCCTGCCTCCGAGAGCGGCTGCGCACGGCGACCAGGCAGGTGGGCCTCCTCGGAGGCTTCTTCCGCTTCCTGAAAGGCTCACTCGGGCCTCCTGGGAGGTGTCTCCCCATTGATGAGCTGATTGAGCCCTCCCTGGCAAAGAAGACGAATAATAACAATAATAATACGAATACTACTAATAATAATACTAATACGAATAACACGCACAATGCAGCGAGTAGGAATAATACTGATTGGAATAATAACAATAACAATAATATCAATACTAGCAGTGATGCGAACAATACTTCTACGAATACTGATATCTGTATTAATAATAACATCGTACTAGCACTAATAACGCAATAGTGCTACTAATACTTATAATGCTAACTGCTACTGCAGTACTAACATAGTACTAGTACTAATACTAATAATACTACTAATCATAAGAAGAAGAAGAAGAAGAAGAAGAAACACTAATATATAATAACAATCAGAAGAAGCCGCACCCTGACGGCGCATTGGCAGACATATTTTCAATTGCAGATCGCATGCGCCAACAAACAAGCAGGACAAGACGTGGCTGCACGGTGCCGCGGGGAGCCATCCTTGCAGCCTTTGTTTCTGGACGAGCCAGCCGGAGCAGACTCCCTCCGAGATTCGAGAGCGGCCAAGAGGGGGGGGTCCAAGAGGGGGGGGTGCAAATCATGACCGGCGGCATGTGCGCGGCCCAGCGGGGGGCCAGGGACGTAATGAAATAAGAAGAGGCGCCATAAAATCTGGGAAATACCTATCATGGCCCCCGCCATGATATCCCCCCCCTAAGTCATCACCCCCCTCTTTTCCGCCCCCGAGAGATTCGTCCCTTCCAGGACCCCTCCCGACAAATGGCCCGGGCTGCGCCTGGCCGCGGCGACGAGGGGGGGACGGCCAAGAGAGGCCCTGAGGGGCCATGGAAGCGAGGGCGGCACTCTCCGCCGGTGCGCCGCCGACACACACACACACACACACACACACACACACACACACACACACGCACACACACACGCACACGCACACGCACACGCACACGCACACGCACACACACACACACACACATGCACGCAGACGCACACACAGAGCGAGCAGGCAAGCCAGGGGAGGCTGCGGCACCGATGCCCGGGCGCCCCTCCTACGGCCTCGAGCAGCCTCGCGCCCCCGGCCCTCCCCGCCCTCTGCGAGCCTCGGCCCTCCCTCGCCCACCCTTCGCCCTCCCTCGCCCTCCCTCGCTCACCCTTCGCCCTCCCTCGCCCTCCTCCGCCCTCCTTCGCGCTCCCACGCCCTCCTTCGCCCTCCTTCGCGCTCCCTCGCCCTCCTCCGCCCTCCCTCGCGCGCCCTCGCCCTCCTCCGCGCTCCTTCGCGCGTCTTCGCCCCCCCGCCGATGCCCTGCTCGAGCCTCGCAAAACAGGGCTAGGATCGGGATAAATCGCTCCAGAGCGTTCCGGAGCGCTCTCAGAGCGTTCCGGAACGCTCTGGAGCGGCCGCGGCGCCCAATACGTCCTCCAAACCCGCCGATTCTCAGAGATTTCGAGTTATCCCGATCCGATTTTGTCCCGATCTTCGCGTCGTTTTACCTCGGGGCCTCCTCCTCTCCTCCTCCTCCTCCTCCCTCCTCCTCTCCTCCTCCTCCTCCTCCTCCTCCTCCTCCTCCTCCTCCTCCTCCTCCTCTCTCGAGCCTCGGGGCCTCCACAGCTCCCGGGCGCGGCGGCGCACGGCGGGCGCGGCGAGGCGCGGCGGCGGTCGGGCGCGGCGGCGGGCGCCTCCGGCGGGGGGCCGGCGGGCGGCTCCGCGGGGCGCCAGGGCGGGGCGGCCGGCGGCGGCGCGGCCTCTGGAGCTGGGCCTCTGGGGGCGCGTGCGAGGGTCATGTTGCATCCTCGGGGGACCTTGTCTGTCCCGTCGCGGCCCTGTCCGCGTCGAATCCGTGTCGAATCCATGTCGGACGCGTCGGATCCGTGTCGAATCCGTGTCGAATCCGCGTCGAATCCACGCCAAATCCGCGTCGAGTCCGCATCGAGCACGCGTCGGGCCCCCCAAAAGACACCAATTTTTGGGACAGGCGAGGCCCCCCGAAGATGCAACAGAACTGGGGGCGCGTGCGAGGGGGGGGGGGGTATAGAAGTGGTGGATGGCCCCTCGAGCAATGAAGAAATCATATGGCGGGAGGGTTTCCACGGTTTTCGGCCCCCCGGGGCCCTCACCGGGCCTCGGGGCCGTCAAAGAACGACGCGGGATGAGAAAGCGGTCCCGGGGAGTAGGTCGAGATCTCGGGGGGTCGGCGTAATTCAAAAAAAATCATGACGTCGGGGGTCTGGGATTGGCGCGCCTCGAAATGCAGGTGGTGGCACATGTGCCTCGAGGTGGACGTACGGGTCACCCCCTCCCACGGCCGTTGTCGTTTGCCGAGGGGCACCGTGCGGGGGGGTCCTCTGCCAAGAAGCTGAAAACACACGTGGCTGGATTCACATGTGGCACATGCGAAGGCCACTTGCTGGATGCACACGTGGAAGATCACCGTGCCTGGCCACAGGAGGGTCTGTCAGGGGGCAGGGCTTAGGCTGGCGCGTACGGCTTACCTGCCGCACGCCAGTGGGCCCAGCGGCGAGAGAACAGAATTGCCTCGCAATGCTGCGGAAGAGGAGCATATTGTGGTATCGCCCCCTCGAGTTCGCACTCACGCCAGGCCAGGCGATTGCACCCAGCTTCAACCAGATCCTCTTCCCCAGAAGGGGGGGGGGGGCGGATTCTATATATATATATATATATATATAGGATGCGGGCCTGGCCTCGCGCGCGCCCCGGAGAGGCGTGAGGTCCAGGCAGGCAAAGGGGTTGCACCCAGCTTCAACCAGATCCTCTTCCCCAGAAGGGGGGCGCGGACTCTCTATCTAGGATTCGGGCCTGGCCTCGCGCGCGCGCCCCGAAGAGGCGTGTGAGGTCCAGGCAGAAAAGGGAGAGCGGAACCCACTGCCACGGCGGCGACGACGCACGGCGACGGCGCGGACGAGGCTCGCAGACGCACGAGCGCAGCCACTGGGGATGACTACCTACCAGACCACCCCAACCCAACCCGAAGGCCAAAATTTGAATCGAATTTCGGGTTGGGGGGGGTGCGGGTTCCATGTGTTCTTACATTGTTCCCAGAACCCCCCCCCCCCCACACTGGAAATGGAGGGCAAATTGTGGCCTTCGGGTTGGGTTGGGGTGGTTTGGTGGGTGGTGAGGGGAGGGGTCCGAGCAGGTGGAGGCGAGGGAGGCGGGGATGCGAGGCCGACAGTGCGGGGCCGGAGCGGATGGGGCCGAAAGGCCGGCGCCGCACCGCCGCTGCCTCGGCGATGTGCCTCGGCGGCGTCGGGAGGGAGCAGGCCGAGCTCCTCCTCCTCCTCCTCCTCCTCCTCCTCCTCCTCCTCCTCCTCCTCCTCGGGCGCCCCGTCTGAGACCCCACGTTGGGCGGCCCGGAGGAGAGAGGATGGGCCAGTGAGGGGTCCGAGCTGCACCGCGGCGCACCGGCTCCCTCGGGCGCGGGCATCCCCGGCGGACGCGCCGCCCCCGCAGGCAGAGAGCGCTCTCACGCGCCCCCCCCGATCTGGAGGCGGCGCTTGGCCATCTGCTTCTTGGTGAACTTCTTCGGCTTCGTCTCCTCGGCGGGAGCCTCCACAGACTCGTCCTTCTCCTCCAGAATCATCTCGATGTGGCACGGGTTCGACATGTACGGCCCGATGCGTCCGTGGGCCCGATAGGTCTTGCGCCGGCCCTGCTGCGCGGGGTTCACCTGGATGTGCTTGACGAAGAGGTTGTCCGTGTCGAGGTTCTTGAAGTCGGCGTTGCTCTCCGCGTTCTGGAGCAGGCCCAGCAGGATCTTCGCGGACTTCACTGGCCACCGGCCCTGAGACATCTTGAACGCCTTCGCCTGGGGGGTGCGCCCGATGCAGCTGGTGTACTTCCTGAAGGGGACGCACTGCTTCTTCTCGCACACGTCCTGCAAGTACGACTGTGCGGCCTTCAGGTTCATGCCCTTGATCGCCTGGGCGGCCTCGTACGTGTTCTTGTAGTGGACGCGGAGGTCCACGCCCTTGGCCTTGCAGGCCTTGCTGGGGTTGGCCGCCTCCCTGGAGTACTTGCCCATCGCTCCCTGAAGCCGCGCGGTCTGTGCGCTCTACGACCGTGCCTTACAGCTTAGGCCAAAACGGCTACGGAAGGGAGCATAGTCGCATTGGGGAGGAGGAGGAGGAGGAGGAGGAGGAGGAGGAGGAGGAGGAGGAGGAGGTGGAGGATGATGATGATGATGAGGAGGAGGAGGAGGAGGAGGAGGAGGAGGAGGGGGAGGAAGAGGAGAGGAGGAGCAGGAGGAGGAGCAGGAGGAGGAGCAGGAGGAGGAGGAGGAGGAGGAGGAGGAGGAGCAGCACGAGGAGGAGGAGGAGGAGGAGGAGGAAGAGGATAAGGAGAAGGAGCATGGTCGCATTGGGGCAGTCTTCCGAGGGCCCGCGAATGCTGGGAAGCCCAAAGACCCATGCGGATTGCCCATCTTGCGCATGTCTCTGGGTCTCCCGCAGACTGGAAATATGGGAAGCGCACAGCCGGACGACTGCCGCGCGAACCCTAGCGTCCTCGGAAGCTCTCCGTTTCCCCATGTCCGCTTCCCCGAGCTGTGGGAAGTCCATAGTCATTCGGAACATGACACGCTTCCAGAGGCCCATGGGCTTCCCAGAACTCCAACCATGGGAAGCCCCAAAGACCCTTGCTGAGCACGCATTCTGCCGAGGCCGATGGGTCACAGTTCGGGGGAGCGAACTTCGGGAATCCCGAGCGTCGACCCTCGGGGACCTTGGGGCGCGGACTCTGGAGCCCTCCGACACCACCCCCGAGGTCCGGTTCCCCGAACTCCGCTCCCTCGAACTGCAGTCGGGGCGTTGACGTAAGGAACCCTAAATAAGGAGCGAGGCCCCTTTTTCCATAAGTTAAACTCCGATTTCCCATGGAAAACATAAAGGGAAACCTGAGGCAAGCTGTGAAACACTTAAGGAACGCGGAGCCCCTCCCCAACCAAAAGGGTTCCTTCTTCAGGGCCCCGACTGTATGGGGAAACCGATGGCGCCTCGGAAAATGGGCACTCGGTGCAAGTCTTTGGGCTTCCCCGCTGTGGGGCTCCCACATTTCGCCCCTCCCCCGACAGTCCAAGCCCCGGCGTGCGAAAAAAATCCACTGGCCCCGTCGGCGTCTGCGAGGGGCGTGTCTGCTCGAGTCGTCGTCTCCGTCGGCCATCCTTTGCGCCGCCCCCTTTCCCTGCGCCCTCCTCCTCGAACTCCTCAAGCCTGTCGGCTTACAGTTGGGGCGTTGACCCAAGGAACCCCAAATAAGGAACGAGGCCTTCTTTTCCCATAAGTTAAACTCCGATCTTCCAGGGAAACCCTCAGGAGCACCCAAGGAGCACCGTAGAACAACTCAGGACCGGCGCGCCCCGGGGGGGCAGGGCAGAAGCGGCGGTCTTTCTCTCGGGAGGCTCAGCCTTCGAGGAGAACTCCTCCTCCTCCTCCTCCTCCTCCTCCTCCTCATCCTCCTCTCCTCCTTCCTCCTCCTCTCCTCCTCCCTCCTCCTCCTCCTCCCTTCTCTCCTCCCTCTCCCCCTCCCCTCCCCCAGCAGCACCAAACGAAAAAGGGTTCCTCTCCAGGCCCCGACTGCAAGACCAACCTGGCAGTGCGCCGCCGAGTCGGAGGGAGGCCCCCCTCCCTTTGATCCCTCCCCCATCGGGGGAACGGGTCCTGGGAGGGGGGGGGGAGGGGGGGGGGGGGGGGAGGGAGGGGGGTCCCTGGGGGGGGTCAGATACGCCCCCCCCCTCCCCCATGGGGGGCCCGGGGCCTCAGAAAGCACCAAGACGGGCCACGAGTGCCCCGAGAGGCCCCCGAGACGGTCCAAGAGAGCCCCCCATCGCCAAACGATCGGTCCAAAACGCCTTCACGCCGTCCAGACTGCCCAGGAGGCCGCCAAGACGCCCCAAGAAGACTCCAACACCACCCCCGAGAAGGGCCCCACCAGGCACAATGCATTGATTTCCCCGTGCGTGCTCTTTATATAGAAGGTCTAAATTTGGGCGTTCGCGCCTTGTCCGCTCCCCGCCGCTCCAAGACGGCCAAAGAGGCATCCAAGAGGGCCCCCAAACAGCCCGAGAGGACCCCAAGACACCCCACAACACCTCCAAGACGGCCCAACAGGCCCCCAAGACGGCTCCAAGAGCGTGCCCGGACGGGGGACCCGAACGGACATTTCGAGCCATCGACCCCGAGTGGCTCCCAAGAGGACCAAAAGGTTCCCAAGAGGCCCCGGAAGGCCCACAAGAGGTCCCCAGGAAGCTCCCAAGAGATCCCGAAGAGGCTCCCAAAAAGCTCCCAAGAGGCCCAGAACTCCTCCCCAGAGGCCCCCGAGAGCCTTCCGAAGAGACCTCAAGAAGCATTCCTCTGGCTCACGTCAGCGTCGTTGTCGCCGCCGCCGCCGCCGTTGTCGTCGTCGTCCCCCTTCTGGGTCGGCGGCACTGGCCGTAAGCTCTTCGCAATAAGCTCCCCCGAGGTATGGGACACACCCATGGGAAAATCACAAGTCTCGAGAAGTCGACGGCCGTCCCACAGCTCCGATGGGGCGGCAAGCCCGCAGACCCCCGCGAAGTGCCACTTTTCCGACGCTGTGGGCTCCCCATGGGTCGGGGGAGCGAGCTTCAGGGCACCAGGGCCTCGACCCTCGGGAGGGGTGATTTTTTTGTTTTCCCCCTAGCGCACGATATTCGTTTTGTCATTGTTCCCCAAACAAAATGACACCAGAGATGAGGCAAAAGGACACCAAAGAATGTTTCCCCTCGGGAGGGGCGAATTATGGGAAACCCCCGCGGAGTGCCACTCTCCCGACGGTGTGGGCTGCCCATGGGTCGGGGGAGCGAGCTTCAGGGCACCAGGGCCTCGACCCTCGGGAGGGGCGTTTTTTTTGGGGGGGGGTTCTCCCCCCCCAGCGCACGATATTCGGTTTGTCTTTGTTTCCCCAAACAAAATGACACCAGAGATGAGGCAAAAGGACACCAAATAATGTTTCCCCTCGGGCGGGGCGACGTATGGGAAGCCCGCAGCCGGCCTCCAGAGGCCCGAGAGCAGTGCCAGGATCGCCTCAAGAGCTGCAGAACCCTCCGCTCCGACCTCGGGCGCGGCCAGGAAGGCCGGGATGATCATCTTCCTGGCGCCCGATGGGCTCTGAGGTGAATGGCACGGGGGTGGAGAAGGGGAGGAGGAGGAGGAGGAGGAGGAGGAGGAGGAGGAGGAGGAGGAGGAGGAGGAGGAGGAGGAGGAGGAGGAGGAGGAGGAGGAGTAGGAGGGGAGGAGAGGAGGAGGAGGAGGAGGAGGAGGGGGTGGAGAAGGCGAAGGCGGAGGTGGCTGGCGAGTGGGCCTCCGCCATCACCTGCGGGCCATAGCGACCTCTTCTGCGACGACGCCCCCGCCTGGCCACCTGCCCGCGCCTTGGAGAGCGAGGCGAAGAAGTCGCCACAAAAGCGGGTCGGTTTGCCAGGGGCCGATGAGGACGCCCCTGGCGGTCCTCCTCCTCCTCAAGTCCTCCTCTCCTCCTCCTCCTCAGCCTCCTCCTCTCCTCCTCTTCCTCGTCTCCGTTCCGCCTCGTCTCCCTCGCCTCCTCGTCCTCCTCGTCCTCATCGTCCTCCTCGTCCTCGTCCTCGTCCTGTCCTCGTCCTCGTCGCCTCGTCCCATCGCTCTTCCTCCTCCTCCTCATCCTCCTCCTCCTCCTCCTCCTCATCGTCCTCTTGCTCCTCTCCTCCTCCTCATCCTCCTCCTCCTCCTCAGCCTCCTCCTCCTCCTCCTCCTCCTCCTCCTCCTCCTCCCCTCCTCTCACGTACGACGACGCCGCCGACGCGACGACGACGACGACGCCGACGGCGACGGCGACGACGCGGCACCGCCGGCGTCGGCTTTGCGGCGGCGGCGGCGGCGGGCCGGGGCTCCGCGGCGCCCGCCGCCCCGGCAGCGCGGCGGAGAGCAGGGCCCTTCTCTATGCGTCGGCCAGCGCGGCCGCGGCGGCCACGGCGGCGGCGGGACGGCGCCTACGGGCGGCTGCGACGGGCGCAAGCGGCGAGGAACGGCGCGGCGGCGCGGGCCGGCGGCGGCGGCGACGACGGCGCCGACGGCGGCGGGCGGCGGACGGACGGCGCCGACGGCGGCCTGCGACGGCGGCTAGCAGCGGCGAGGACGGCCGCGGGGCCGCCGGCGGCGGCGGCGACGGACGGCGCGACGGCGCCGGGCGGCGACGACGGCGCCGACGGCGGCCTTGCGCGGCGCGCATCGGCGCGGGGACGGCGCGGCGGCGCGGCGGCGGCGGGCTACGGCGGCGACGGCGCCGACGGCGGCGCCGGCGACGACGGCGCCAACGGCGGCTGCACGGACGGCGCAGCGGCGAGGGACGGCGCGGCGGGCCGCGGCGGGCGTCGGCGGGCGGCGGCGATGGCGCAGCGGCGGCGGCGCGGCCGGCGGCAGCGGCGAGGACGGCGCGGCGGCAGCGGCGGCGGCGTGCGGCGGCGGCGGCGGCGGCGGCGATGGCGGCAGCGGCGGCGGCGACGGCGGCAGCGGCCACGGCGGCGGCGGCGGCGAGGGGAGGCTAACAGCAGAGCTGGCGGCACGGAGTGGCGTCTGCCGCCCTCCCGCCCGCGCTTCTCCCCGCTCCTCCTACAGGCAACCCGTGCAAGAAGGACGCACGACAGGGACGCAAGGGCCTTGGAAAGCCATGTTTGACGCTTTTCGAATGGGGCTGGCCAGCGAAAGTTGCCAGTGATGGGCCGAAGGGGCAAAGATGCAAGGATGACCCTGTAAAGTCGCTCATCCTTGCTATGCGGATTGACTGGACTCCTTAGGGGACCCCTGATCGGGTCGCGGTCCGCTCAACCATTGCAGAGGCCGCGACTTGCTTGCGCTGGTGCCCTTCTGCGTCGACTGCTGGGCCGCGTCCTTGGCATCCACGCGTAAGGCCTGTGCACGCAGGTCGCTGTGTGCCCATCCACCTGCGCCTGCATGCGTCGGGCAGCGTCGCTGCTCGTGGGCGGACGACAGCCGTGATCCGCCAGTCCGCCTGTGGTGGGACCTTGTGGCCCGACAGACATCGACCATCGCGAGGTCATCCCCGCACTCACCAGAGAGGGGCTCCTGGACGGAGGAC